CTCCACTGCCTTCCCAGGCCATAGCAGAGAGCTGGATCAGAAGTAGAGCAGCCAGGGTTCAAACTGGTGCCTATGTGGGATGCCAGCACTGCAGGCAGTGGTTTAACCTACTGTGCCACAGCACCGGCCCCCTTCCTTGCCTTTTCTACCCAGAGCCACGTGCATTTCTTGGCTGGTGGCTTCCTCCTCCGTTTTCAAAGCCAGCAGCGGTGGTTGATTCCTTCTCACATAGGAGGTTCATCAGTCTCACCTACTCTTGTCTCCCTCTGGTGCTTTGAAGGACTATTCTTGGAGCCACTCAGATCATCCAGAACAATCTCCCTATTTTGAAGGCCTCTGATTAATAACCAGCTATGTATGTAACTTGTTCGTGGACACTGGGATTAGGACGAGCCCGTGGCGGGGGCATTACTCTGCTGCCACACCTATCTTCTATGCACTTTGGTCTGTTCTTTCTTCTTTCAAAGCCTGCCTCTCCTGGCCTTTTAATTTCTTGTCTACCTTTGTGTTTTTCTATGTAACACTTTATATATGGAGATATTTTCTCATTAGTGATTGGCGGGGGAAGGGTCAATCAGGTTTTTAGTTGACCCTCTTGACTCAGTCTTTCCAGTACTAATAATTTTTAAAAATATTTATTTATTTGAAAGGCAGCACCAGAGACAAAGAGATCTTCCATCTGTTAGTTCTCTCCCCAAATGACTGCAACAGCTAAGTCTGGGCCAGGCCAAAGCCAAGAGCCAGGAACTCCATCTGGGTCTCCCACATGGGTGGCAGGGGCCTGACTGTGGGGAGCAACTGGGAGCAACTCGGACTAGACTAAGTTACTGGAATTAAGACTTATTCTATGCATCTGCTCTCCCACAATATGGCGCTGGGAGAGCTTCTACGCAGCTGCCTCTTGCCAACTTGAGTGATGACCTCCAGGAGCTGATCCTGCTCCTGATTGGAGGAGAGCAGCGTACTCGGCGTGTGGGCAGCCGAGTTGGGATTGGTGGAAGAGGACTATAAAGGAGGAGAGAGACAACATGCACCAGGAACATCTGAGGGAACACCTGTGCAGCCCCCAAGAGAGCCGGCCGGCGGTGTGCCGCTCCCCTGCGGAAGTGGGGAAAGTGGCTAGGGGGAACCGCCCTTCCACGGAGGTGGAAGGGACGGTAGCCAACCCGGGAAGAACCAGCAGCAAACCCGGGGAGGGCCGAGCAGACAAAAGAACAACGTAGAGTCCTGTGTCGTTCCTCCACGAAGAGGGGGAGCGACATAATGGTGCCGTGACTCGGATAGGAAGCCTAGGCAGGGTTTAGTGTCGTTCCTCCACGAAGACGGGGAGCGACACTGACTACGTGGGCCACCTTTGTGGCCTTCCCAGGCACATTAGTAGGACCCTGGATCAGGAATGGCACAGCTGCCACTAAAACCAGCATGCCAGTATGGATGCAGCATCACAGGTGGTGGCTTGGTCCACTGTGCTACAACCCCAGCTCCAGGACTTACAAAGTTTAAAAAACTATTATTTCGTTTTGCTGATTTGAATTTTGGTATGCCTCTTCCCAGAGTAGGGAATAGATCAATGAGTGCTATGGGCTTTCTCTTAGTCTTGGCATTTCCATGTAAGATTTCAAGGTGAATAGGGCAGGGCTTCTGAGTTTCCAAGTATCTCCTTAAAGCTGGCAGAGGAGACAGGTGGAGGTGGTGCGGTTGGTGGAGACAGGTGTTTCCAGGCCAGACTTCTGTGTGGTGATGCCTGGTCAAGGCAGCACCCTGCATGGACATGCAGTGCCGTGTGAAGGCGAGGGAAGGCCACAGCTGGAACAGACAAAAACGCTTTCTGGAGCCTCCCAGCCCCCGCCTTTCTTAGCTGTGCCTGTGAAGTGTGCAAGGATGCTGCAAGTGTACATTTGTAAACCTGTGTGAGTCCCGTGTTTCTTGAGACACTGCATGGTAGTCAGTCCTTACTAGAAAAAAAATTGTGTTGGAGTCGTCCAGAAAGCCCAAGTAACTGAAACTGGAGCAAATGGAGTAAATATTTAATTAAGAATCTGTGATCTGCAAAGATAGAGGATGAATGCTCTCCCAGCATGGAAGTCAGGTTTCACTGTGAAACGCTGAAAGAGGTAGCCAGAGCTCTGGGAGCCCAGAGAGCTGCACAACAGGTTGTACCCTAACGGGTAGAGGGAAGCAACATTTCATCTGAGTTTTGAAGAATTCTAATATTGTAACACAGTGTTCTCCTTTGTTAAACTGACCTAGATAGATAGATAGATAGATAGAGGCCTTGTACATTTTCCTAGTTATCTTTAAAGTTGACCTAGTTTCTAGTTATTGGTATGATTAAAATACTGTTATGTAAGCACTAAAACTTGAAGAGCATGCCTGAGAGTTTGTACCAGTGGGCTTCCATCTGGGCTAAGAACCACAAGCAGAACTAAAAGCTCCATGCGCGTCATTTCATCCTTAAACGTGTGCTTGTGATTTTTATCTAAGGCCTTATGATTGGAAAGACTGGCAGTTTGCTTCTTTTTTCCTGTGATACATTAAAAAAAAAACTATTATTTTAATGGCAGAGCATCAGAAAGAGAGAGAGAAAGCAATCTTCCATTTGCTTGTTCACTTCTCAGGACTGGGCCAGTCTGGAGCCAGGCATCGGGCCCAAGCCCTTGTGGCATCTTCTGCTGCCTTCCCAGGCACATTAGCAGGGAGCTGGATCGAAAGTGGAGCAGCCGGGACTTGAACCAATGTTCTGATGCTGATGTCACAGCAGCAGTTTAGCCTGCTGTCCCACAGTTCTCGCCCCTTCCCTGATATTTGTGTTATTGTATTACAGAATTTTTACCAAAGAAAGTGTCATTGTTTAAAATATCAACAAACTTTATTTTTTTAAAGATTTATTTATTTACTTGAAAGAGTTACACAGAGAGAAAGAGAGGTCTTCCATCCGCTAGTTCACTCCCCAACTGGCCGCAACAACTGGAGTTGCGCCGATCCAAAGCCAGGAGCCAGGAGCTTCTTCTGGGTCTCCCACATGGGTGCAGGGGCCCAAGGACCTGGGCCATCTTCTACTGCCTTCCCAGGCCAAAGCAGAGGGCTGGATCGGAAGTGGAGCAGCCGGGACTCGAACTGACGCCCAGATGGGATGCCGGCATTGCAGGTGGCGGCTTTACCTGCTAAGCTGCAGCATAAGCCCCCAAACTTTATTTTTAAATAACAGTATGCTCCTTACCTGCTCTTTTAGTTTGTGCTGAATGTTTTGATTAAACACAGAGACTGGAAGTACTTAATTACTTAACTACTGATTATTTTGTTTTCAGCTAGGAACAGTAGCTAACCTGTGAAAGGTTAAAAACACATTTACCTGACGTCTCTGATGTGTCCTGGGTTGCACTTTCCTTAGTTTGTCATTTATACAGACTTGCTACATTTTCTTTTTCAATGTCAAATAGATGGAGAAATTTCTTCTAGAAAATTATATTTCTTCTGTTTGAATATATAACTTGAGAAGTTTGAACAACAGTAATCCCAATAGATTAAAATACTGCATGTAGGGGCAGGCAGTATGGCGTAGTAGGCTAAGCCTCCACCTGCAATGCTGGCCTCCCATTTGGACACAGGTTCTTTACCTCTCAAATAAATAAATAAAATCTTTAAAAAAATTGCATGTATTCATTTTTTTGACTCAATGTTAACAATGAACTTTCTTTCATTAAAAAGTTGTGGTTCAGAGCAGGTGTTGTAGCTTAGCAGGTAAAACCACTGCCTGCGATGCCGGCATCCCACATCAGCACTGTTTCATATCCTTGCTGCTCTGCTTCTGTCCCAGCTCTCTGCTGTGGTCTGGGAAAAGCAGGAAGAGCAGCAGCCGGGACTAGAACCAGGCCCATATGGGATGCCAGTGCCACAGGTGGAAGATTAACCTACTGCGCCCTAGCACCAGCCCCTGTTTTTTTTAAAGATTTATTTATTTGAAAGAGTTGCCGAGAGGAAGAGCAGAGTCTTTCATCTGCTGGTTCACTTCCCAAATGGCCACACGGCCGGAGCTGCGCCAGTCCAAAGCCAGAAGCCTGGAGCTTCTTCTGGGTCTCCCACACAGGTGCAGGGGCCTAAGGACTTGGGCCATCTTCTACTGCTTTCCCAAGCCACAGCAGAGAGCTGGATCTGAAGCGGAGCAGCCAGGACATGAACCTGCGCCCATATGGGATGCCTGGACTGCAGGTGGCGGCTTTACCTGCTACAGCACAGCGCCGGCCCCCTAAATAAATCTTAGGAAAAAAAAGCTGTGGTTCAGAGGCAAGGATTTGGCTCACTGGTTAAGACACTCTTTTGGGACACCTGTATCCCATACTGATATGCCTGGTTCCACTCTGGGCTCTGCTTCCAGTCTAGCTTTCTGCTAACGAGCATCCTGGGAGGAAGCAGGTGGTGGATCAAGTACTTGGGTCCCTTTCACCCACATGGGAGACCCGTTTTGAGTTTCAGGCTCCTGGTTTCAGCCTGGCCCAGCCCTGGTATTGCAGGCATTTGGGGAATGAACCAGCAGATCAAAATTTCTCTCTACTCCTCTGCCTTTCCAGTAAAGTGAAGAAAATAAAAAGTTCTTTTAAAAAAACCATAAAAGTTGTTCAGGAGTCGGGCATTGTGGTACACTGGTTAGGCCCCTGCTTGAAACGCCCGTATCCCGTACTGGAGTGCCCAGGTTCCATTCCAGGCTCTGCTGCTTATCCAGCTCCCTGCTCATGTGCACCCTGGGAAGCAGCAGGTGATGGCTCAAGTTCGTGAGTCCCTGCCACCCACGTGGGAGACCCGGATGCTGTTCTAGGCTCCTAGTTTGAACCTGGTTCAGCTCTGACTGTTGTGAGCATTTGGGGAGTGAATCAGCAGATGGAAGATGCCTTTATCTGTCTCTCTCTGCCTTTCAAATAAATAAAAATGAAATAAAATAAATAAAAGTCATGTTCATTGTGTCTGTGACACTGTAATGGCTAAAGCCTGTTTTAACTTTTCAGGGAAGTGTGACAGCAATGACAGTATTTTTTCCCTTGGATACAGCTAGACTTCGGCTTCAGGGTGAGTATTCGTCATTTGTGTAATCTCATTCCTGTTCGTGTGGTGGTGGGAAGCAAACATACTTCCCTAGCAAGTTCTCCATCGCTGTCAGATTTTCTGTTTCTTCCGCGACCACGTGGTCTGCCTCCACTGACTAGAGCCTCTGGATGGCTCAGAGCCTTAGCCCTCTTCTCTTCTCAGAGAATCTGAGTGGGTTTGCTTAAGAATTTTGAACATTACAATTCTTCCAATAAGCCGTAGGGCTTGGTAGCTTTTTGGCGGAAGGTGGGTTTTTCACTCTTTCCTTATTTTCACTGTTCCCCTTGGGTTGTTGCCACTTTGTTATTACAAATAATGATGTAAGAATAGAATTTTCAGTGAGCTTACTGGCTCAGATAAACGTGTTGGTAATTTTGATAGTCATTGCCAGCTTGTCTTCCCTGGTGGTTTACTAATTGACCATCCCACAAGCTATTTTGGTACCGATTTTAATTCTCAGGAAATTGGTTAATCTCCACATTTCTGTGTTCTCAAATTATTTTTAAATTGTGGATAGGAAATTTGAAGTTAATTGAGATACGTTTTGTTTTCAGTGAGAATTTCAATAAATGTAGAGTTCTGATTCTTTTGAGACCTTTTTTTTAGTTCAATGAGGAGACATAACGCAAGGCTGAAAGTTAAGAAGCTTGCGGTGAATCCTGGCTTGCTGTCAGTGGTGTGTCTTTCACAGCTTTTGTATCTGTAGCCTCTTTTGTTCAAGGAGGATAATTTATTCTCTACTTTATTAAAAAATGAGAATATGTTTGGAAATGAGAGAGCTGTATGAAATTAAGAATACTTTCCTCTGTCACAGCTTTTACTTTGGAAATTATGGATTGAATTTAAAAAATGCTTTGTGGTTCACAAATAAGGTGAAGGCCAGGGACTCCGCAGTGGGGCGTTTCACACATGGTCATGTAGCAGGATATGAGGCACATTAGGGGTGCAGGAAGAATAGGCCGAAAGATTGCTCAGGTGAGGTAAGTGTGAAACTTGGCAATGCTGGAGATAATAACTCTGCGTTCAAACGTCTGCTCTTTGGTCTTGTAGTCGATGAGAAAAGAAAGTCCAAAACCACACACATGGTGCTCCTGGAGATCATCAAAGAGGAAGGCCTGTGAGTACTCCCGCCTTGCACCTTGGCAGGCAGAGCAGGTTGTTGAACTGCTGTGCCTCCAGGCACCCACACTCCCTTCCTCTCTACCCTCATAGCCTTTCAGTGTTGTGAATCTGTAATTGCCTGGCTTGTTAGTACATAATTGTTCTCAGTTCCTTAAAAATTTACACTTAGGGGTCCATGTTGCAATGCTGGCATCCCATATCAGATTGTGGGTTGCATTCTTGGCTGCTCCACTTCTGATCTAGCCCCCTGCTAATGCCCCTGGGGAAACAGCCAAAGATGACCCAAGTATCTGGGCCCCTGCCACCCATGTGGGAGACCAGGATGGAATTCCTAGCTCCTGGCCTCAGCCTGGCCAAGCTTTGGCTGTTGCAGCCATTTGGGAAGTGAACCAGCAGATAGAAGATCTTTCTGTCTCTGTGTCTGTCTGTCTGCCTTTCAAATAAATACTTTTTCTTAAAAGAAATCTGTAGTTAGCGGTTTGGTTCTTGATCATCTAGTCTTCCATGAAATCAGTGCTGTGTTTTATGTACAACGACCAAAGATAATAGTTGTTTGCTTCATTCCTATCAGATGCATTCAGATTGTATACTTTTACAAACTTTATTTCTAAGTAATTTCAGAATCACAGAAGGTTGTGACAGTCGTATTAGTACAGAGAACACCAGCATGTGCTGTTCCTGCGCTCATCTGTTGTGAACACTTTCCCATTGTTGCACGTTTGTGCTGTGCTTCCCCCGCCCCCTTCCTTTCTGATTATGCACCCCCCACAGATTTTTCTAGTTGTTTGAAAACAAGCTACATACATGAAGGCCTCCTACCCCAGACATTGATGCTTTTAATAGAGCTTCCATCTACTGGTTAACTTCCCAAATGTCCACGACAACCAGGGCTGGGCCAGGCCAATGCCAGGAGCTAGGTACTCCATCGGGGTCTCCCACATGGTTATTAGGGATCCAAATATTTGAGCCATCACCTGCCCTCTCACCCCCAAAGTGTGCATTAGTAGGAAACCAGATTGGAAGCAGCACAGCCAGAACTTGAATCAGGCACTCCAACACGAAATATTAGGCACCCAATATTCACTCTTTTAAGGAAAACAGCCCCCACCCTGCACTTTTTATTTTTAAGGACCCATAACAATCGTGCACATTTGTGGGATGCTTTGTGATGTTTTAGTACACGGACACATTGTAGAGTGTATCCAATCAGAGTAAGCGTGCCGATCTCCTCAGCATTATCACTTCCCTGTAATGAAAACATTCTAAAACTACTAAAAATGAAAAAACAACTTAGATTTCTCATTTTCAGTTTTCCCCATGCTTCTTCATGATTAGATTATACGTCCTTGGCCAGAATCATGCATGGGTGGTGCCGTGTTCTTCACAGAGTATCAAGTCTGGAGTGGCATGTTGTCCACTGCTGTTTCTTGGCTAACTGATTTCTTAGACTTGAGCTGGTCACTGTGTAATTGCCTCCTCGGCAACTGTAAGCAGTCTGTGCGGAGAAGCTTTGCAACAGTGCAGATACCCTGCTTCTTACCAGAACGCCTACCCTAAATTACCATGAAGTTGCAGCAGTGCCACCTCCAGCATTGCCTCTGCATTTGCCAGTCTCGGCCCGCTGTCACTGTAAGGAGCACTGGCCCTTCCCTCATACTTGGCTATTATCCATATGCACTCAAAAAATCCTTTTATTTTTTGTTAGTGGTTTACATTTGATTGCTGTACTTTATTTTGGTTCTCAAATGGTCCCAGGTTTAGCCAGTAGGAGCCCCTTCATTCTGGTTCCCGTGCCATCATGACATGCCCCTATAATCTTTTTTAAACTTATTTTCTGCAATTACCTCATTTTAAATGTTCTTGCCTTGTGATAAGACACGGATGATGCTATCTGTATTCATGTGTGTATATATATATATTCATATATATATATATATATATATATTTAACAGCCGTGGGGAAGTTCCCATTACTTCCTTGGCATCACTCCTGATTTGGCGTCCTTCACTGTGGAGCCCATCGTGGTGTAGGAGTGAACCGTGCGACAGTGATGATCAGCCCTTCCTGGGGCTTGGTGCCAACCTCCATGGCCTTTCTGCTTGACTTTCACTTTGCTTATTGTGTTTTTCCCATAGCCTGGCGCCATATCGAGGGTTGTTTCCAGTTATTTCCAGTCTCTGCTGCTCCAATTTTGTCTATTTCTACACTTTTAATAGTCTCAAAGCTGTCTGGGTCAAAGGTCAACGTTCTACTACTGGAAAAGATCTGGTAGTTGGATTTGTTGCAGGTAACAAGGTTTTCTGGGTATAAAATGTTTTTATATTTTAATATTTATTTTGTGATCAATATATCTTCCAAGAGTTTACTTTCGCACAAACTAATGCTCACGTAGAGTTTGTTTTTCTACTTGGTGGTTTTTGTTTTTAGCGTGGTAAAAAGTGTAACAATTTACCATCTTACCCATCGTAAGTGTACTTCCAGTAGTGTTAAGTGTATTCATATTACTGTGAAGTGGGTCTCCATAACTGTTGTATTTTGCAAAACTGACGTTATACCCATTAAAAGGGAAACTCCCCTTTTCCCTTCTCTAGACTCTTGTAATCACCATTCTACTTTGTCTCTAAGGTTCCGGTTACTTGGATACCACATATGCTCATAAGTGCAATCATATGATACTGTCTTTTTGCGAATGGCTTATTTCACTTAATATAATGTCTCCAAGTTAACCTGTGTTATAGTGTATGATAGGATTTTCTTATTTGTTTTGTGGCTGGATAATACTCCATTGTTTGTGTATGCAAGTACTTCAGGAAGTTTGTGGAAAATGGAATTAAAAGAAGTTTATTTTGGCCCAGAAAGATCTTGAAACCCATGCATAAAAGGGTCCTCAAAAGGTTCATGGAAAGTGCTGTTACGAGAAAACTATGCAAGATTTTCAGGATTTTTTTCTGTACCAAAATAAGCTTATCTTTTTTTTTTTTCCCAAAGATTTATTTATTTAAAGACAGAGTTACAGAGAGAGGAAGAGACAGATATTTTCTATCTCCTGGTTCACTTCCCAGATGGCCACAACAGTTGGAGCTGGACCAGTCCCACGTGGGTGCAGGGGCCCAAGCATTTGGGCCACCCTCTGCTGCTTTCCCTGGCATATTAGCAGGGAGCTGGATCAGAAGTGGAGCAGCTGGGACTCGAACTGCTGCCGACATGGGATGCCGTTGGCAGCCTTGCCTGCTATGCCACAGTGCTTGTTCCCAAGCTTATCTTTTAACTCCATTTATCTGTGAGCTTTTTAAAGTACCTTTGTATGTCACGTATTATTCAACTGTTAGCGAATACTTGAGTTGTCTTCACCTCTTGACTGTTGTGAATAGTGCTGCTATGAATGAAGGTGTGCACATCTCTCTCTGAGAGCCTGCTGTCTTGTCTTTTGGAAATACAGGTTGAGTGTTCCTTATTCAACATACTTGAGACCAGAAGTGTAGCAGATTTCAGAGTTTTTTGGATTTTGAAATATTTGCAAAGACTTTACCAGTTTCGCATCCCTAATCTGAAACGTTTCCGTTTGGGAGCATTTGGATTAGCGATGCTGTTTGTTTACCCAGGAATGGGATTGCTGGGTCACTATAGTTCCAGGCTTAACTGTTTGGGAGTACCCCTGTATTCGTCTGTCTGTTTCCTATTGCTCTAGCATAATACCTGAGGCTGGGTAACTTTGTAAACAGAGGAGGTTTATTGAAGATCACCTCTGGGGGTTCAAGGGCGTGGTTCAGCTCTGGTGAGGACCTCATGGTGGATGGTGTCACAGTGGTGAGAGCATACATGAAAGAGAGCAGTCACATCACTACAGGAATCCAGAGCAGCTTGGAAGTGGCCAGGCTTGTTTTATAACAAGCTTCTCTTGAGAACTGAGTCCCATCAGAACTACCTCGATCCCTTCTAAGGGGAACCCTATCCCACCCCTCCCCCAGTAATTTTCCATTAGGCTCCAGCTCTTACAGATCCCACCACCCCTGTACTGCCACACTGAAAACCAAGCCTCCAGTACGTAAACCTTTGGGGCACATACTCAAATGATAGCAACCTCCATACTGTTGTTGTTGTTGTTGTTCTTCTTCTTCTTCTTCTTCTTTTTTTGGACAGGCAAAGCTAGACAATGAGAGAGAGAGAGACAGAGAGAAAGGTCTTCCTTTTCTGTTGGTTCACCCCTCAAATGGCTGCTGCGGCTGGTGCGCTGCGCCAATCCAAAGCCAGGAGCCAGGGCCAGGTACTTTCTCCTGGTCTCCCATGCAGGTGCAGGGCCCAAGCACTTGGGCCGTCCTCCATTGCCTTCCCGGGCCACAGCAGAGAGCTGGCCTGGAAGAGGAGCAACCGAGACAGAATCCGGCACCCCAACTGGGACTAGAACCTGGGGTGCCGGCACCGCAGGCGGAGGATTAGCCAAGTGAGCCACGGTGCCAGCCACTGTTTTTCATGATAGTTTTTCCATTTACAGCCTCACCAATAGTACACAGAGATTCCAGTTTCTCCGTGTTTTCCAGCACTTGTTATTTTCTGTTTAATGATAATAACCATCCTCAGAATAGGAGGTGATAGCTCATTTTGATATTGATACACATTTCTCCAGTGACTAGTGATGTTGAGCATCTATTCACGTGCTTGTTGGCCAAGTCCTTTGTGTTTTAATCAGGGTATTTTGATTTTTGTTCTTGAGTTGCAGGAATCCTTTATGTGGTATGATAAGGTAAGCGTGTACTCTCTGTCCTTGGCTCCTGACACAGCCCCTGAAAGTGTTGGGATTTCCTGAGTGGTAGCATCCTCTCTCATTCCTAGTGAGTCCCCTTTCAGCCACTCCTGAGTGACCGTGGGTGGCTTAGACAGCTTCTGGGTGGAGGCTAATCACCAGAGGAACCAACCGTGTGATTAGGGGAGGGGGGAGACTGAGCTCATCACTGGTTATGATCAGAGGGCTGCTTGTATGTTCACGTTCTTCTGTTCACTGAGTTTTACGCCTGCCATGTGAGTTCCATCTTTTCTCCAGCCAGTTGTCTCGGTCACTGTAGGTGAAGTGTTAGAAGCATGGGTTTCTTCTCTTACCTAACTGATTCTTCACTCCCAAGCCATTTAGCAGTAACTTTCCTCTGCACTCTAGCGACTGTGGCCTGGCTAAAGCTGTCCATTGCTTAGTTCATCTTGTTAACTCCTGTTCCTCCTTTTGTTCTTATTACCTCTTCTTCAGGAATCCTTCCCTGTTTGCATAACTGCCACGCTAAGTCCCACTCTGGCTGAGGTGCCCTCCCTCTGTGCACTGCGTGCTGTCTGCTCCTGTCTCGGTGTCTGTTGTATACCAATGCATCTGCATATTCTTCCTCTTTTACTCAGCAGTAAGCTCTTTAACACAAAGAGGCCATTTTTGTTATCTCCCCGTCCCCAGTGTCTGAGCTGGGTGAATGTTGAATGAATGATTTACATATAGGAGACCATTCATCCTGTTGTCTCCCCTGTTACTAACTGGCAACTCTGGTCTTTTAGTTACACTACCCCAAGTTGTGAATTTATCCTCTTTCTCTCTGACCCTGCCTCCAGTCCATGGGTAAATCCTTTTTCATCTTCCTTCATATAGTATTCGACCACAGTAGTCTCCCCTATCCATGGAGGATACCTTCCAAGACCTTTAGTGGATGCCTTAAACTGCAAATAGTTCCTGACCCTATGTACTCATATGTGGGTTTTTTCCTGTATATGCATACATATGATAAAGCTTAATTTATGAATTAGGACCAGAGCTTATTCCCAGGAACTAATATAAAGTAGAATATTTAAATATACTGTAAAAAAGTTATTTAAAGTATATGAATTGTTTATTTCTGAAAACTGCCATGAATATTTTTGGACTGTTGAGTCATAGAAACTGTGGAAAGCAAAACCAGTGCCGTACCTCTCCCCACCACCGTCAGATCTCGCCTGGCTTTCTCTGCACCTGCCCTGCTCGTCACCTGCTTCCTCCTTTGTCCCCTTCAGGCCGTGTGATCGTGTTAACACGTTAAGTGGGAGACCTTGTCCCACACAGCCCTGTGTGAACTGGCCCCCCTGTTCTCTGCACTCGTTGGCCTCTCCTGTCCTCCTTGAACCCCTGGTGTCTTTCACCCTAGATGGCCACGCCGTCTGAAGTGATATTCCCTTCCAGCACGTAATGCTCTCTCTCCCTCTGCTCTGCTCGTGTTTTGTCCTTAGCCTTTGTCCTCTATCTTACATACGTGTTTTGTTTATTATCTGTCTCGGGTCTTAAATTGTAAGCTTCACAAAGACAGAGATTTTTGTTTATTGTTTACTAGTGTGCCCTCATCACACAGACCAGGGCTAGCATGTACTGGACACGTGGTGTGCATTGATGGGCAGACTGCTGGGAAGGACTTGTCGGGGAAGGACTGTTCTTTCTGTCGTGTTCAGAGGAGCTGGGCCAGGATCTCAATGTATGAGGGGACTTCAAAAAGTTCATGGAAAATTCAGTTACAAGATAAGTTTATTTTGGTACAATTTTTTAAATCCACGCATAATTTTTCACAGTACACACTTTCTATGAATTCTGTGATCTCTTCATAGTTAGTTATCCAGAAACACAGAAGGTCATTTCAGTGTTGCTAATCATGAACTGAGTTTCATATTTACTTCCAGTTGCTTTAAGAAGGTAGATTTAATGTCAATAGAAGTAAATATCTTGTTAACACCTATTAGAAAAAATAGACCATTGGGAGTGAAGGTGAATTTCTGTCTTTTGAGATTTTAAAAAATTAAAGTGGATAATCATTTGGTGCTTGGATTTGATCATGGTTCTCAGCCAAAGCTGATTTCAACCCACAGGGAGCGTCTGGCAACGTCTGGAGACATTTTTGGTTGTCAGAGTGGAGGTGCTGCTGGTGTCTAATGGGTAGAGAGGTCGGGGGCTGCTGAACGTCCCACACAGTAGCCCTGCACGCACAACAGAAATACCCAGCCTGGAGTGTCAATATTGCCTCAGTTGAGAGACCCTTGGTTAAAGAGTTTCATCATCCTTTGTAATTCTGAGATCCCTTGATTGTAGTCCTCTTTCTCTGACAGTGGAGAATTCCTTGGAAATTACTTCTGTGAGTTTTAAATTGCTCTCAATAACATGTTTTTGTGTCCTAATATATACGATTCTTAAAATAGTTAGAACAGCTTTCTTCCTCCTCCTGAGTCCTGTTGTCATACTGTAGAAATGAGGTTCATTATCTCCAAGGAGAACTAGGAAGAGCATTATTGTTATTCAAA